AGCGTATTTGAAATCAATGACAAAAGAACAAATTTTTGCCGAGGTCATTGTCGCGTGTTCTTTAAAAAAAAGTCAGCAAGAATAATGTTGCGAATAGACAAAGAAAGGTCATTTCTCATACAATTCTACAAACAGCTACTGAAAATGTTGTCACAGCAGTTATCGCTAATGAAATCAAGCTATGTGATTGCGCAATGTTGCTGAGATCGGTTCACAGAGAGAAAAACAAAACACTCGATCAGTCGAGCAAACACAGAGTGCAAAAGGTCCCTTTTGGCGTCAGAAAGTTATCGAATCCTTTCAAGATACTCCGTAAAACAATTAGTTCGCATTACCATATGAATATAGATATGCTCCATCACGCTACTTTTAGTTTCTTGCCCTGGTCAGATAGAATACCACTTTCTATTAAACTGTGTTTTCGTCAAGACGGAAAAGCCCTAAACTCGATCTAACTCACAGGAAAGGACTAGCGGAAAAAGGTTGGCATAATGAATTGCGGTACGTGATCAAAACAACTTATGATTGACACCTTTCACACCTACGCGTTTTGCTTCTTGCCAAGCATAACCGGAAACGATAGCAAGTACACGTAGGCACTTGGCGACAAACAAGAACAAATCATTGCGCGAGCTCACAGCCTAACAGAACATAAAGCTATATTGATCTTTTTATTCAGTGGACCCGTGTTACCTTAAGCGATAGTATTCATAGAATCTTTGTGTACATCTCTTTTCTTTTCTCCAGTTTGTCTACAACAAAGCACATTTAGGCTTCAACAACCTTGGTTGACATTGGTTCACGATTAGGAAAAGTGGCAGGATTGCTACACCCCGTGTTGGTGAATAACGAGTAAAAAGCCACTTGTTGAATGACGTTGTCAGATTTTCAGTCAATCTCTTTGAAACTGAATGCCTTGTGCCGGCCTTTACCCAAATCAGTACAGTTTTGCCTTCAACTCTGTTTTCAACGATAAACAACAGTAAGAATGGACGGTAAGCTTCTTAAATATTCTATTTTCAATAGGATTGTTTCAGTTCTCTGATTTGCTTTGAAAATGTGGATACGTGATATGTGCATTGTTCATTCTAGTTATGTTTCATTTTTTTTACCACTAAGATATTTTGACATGTTGAATTTTTTGCTCTGACCTGTGGGAAACAAAGGTAGACTATGCGAGGGCAAAATCTAGACAAGTTGATATTTTTGTCTTAGAGCTTGCACCAAATTTCCTGAGTCTCCATTTCCTTCTTGGCAAAAATCGGGGGAGGATTGGGATTTAACATATCGTAAATATTTAGCTATGTTTTCGCTGAGGTAATTCTTTTTCTTAAAATACAGGAGAATACAAGGTGACGTTATTGGTATACAGCGGCCTTCCTGATCCTGTTTGGTCGATTCATCCTCGCCATGAGAAATTTAGGGAAATAAAAGAGCTTCTCGAGGACGCCAGAGTCAGAGGTATCGCCCACCGTCACGAACATGCTCCTGCCATTCTCGGATACAGGGGTTTCCTTTTACATCACCGACAAGCCGAGCATGCAGACTTGATTCTAGGCAGGGAGACGACCGCCCTTCAAAAGCTGCTGCTTAGCACCATGCCGGAAGGAACGATACATCATACATTGCACCAGAAAATATCGAAAGGCATCGATTCAGGAACTGTTTTTCCTAATTTGGACGCGCCGAGTTCGTAAGTTCTAAGAGTGCTACTCAGTTGCAGAAACCAAAGTTGCAGCTCTCAGAGCACACATGATGTCTTCTCATAATACTGTGACATCGCCTTCTTGATATAGAAAATACTCACACTGAGAAACCGAGAGAGTGAAGCGAGTCTCAACTACAAGTGGCACAACTATGAATGCAGTCTACGTTTCACACCTTTTAGACAATTTACGTATGAATATGCCTCGAAAAAATTACTTTGAATAACCATATGGAAAGTAAACTAAATGAACATGCTTATATGACCGGTTTTCCTCGAGTCAATTTTGTTACTCTGTGGGCTGGTTTGAAGCCATTAAGCGCCTTAGATTTTTTTACGTTTCCTTGCCACCAACGAGAATCAAAAGGTAGGATAGATGACTTAGTCAGCCATTGGTCTGCTCTCGAAGCCCCACGGATTCGTAGAAATGATTTTCCACTATCCTGATAACTTTAATAATACAGAGACATTGGCATACCTATTCACTATTAGGTTACTCATCATGTTATTTCAAACTATTTATTTCTATTCATGTTAGGACACGAAGTATCACTATACCTTGGCTGATGTTCTATCGAACATTTTCCCTTTAAATATAGACGCAGTTTGATCGGAGTTACGGTTGGTTCGAGCTAATAATACACAGCTAAATGTATCATCGTTAAGTACAGTAGGTCTTGTTTGAGAGTTCTTAAAAGTGAACGGATATGAAAACGAATGTCGCCCGAAACTTAAAGTCTTGTCGCCCGATATCAATCAAAATAACATATTTTTAGAAAGCGTTGAAGGTACCGATCGATCGGAAAACCCTTTTGGTATATTAACGTACGTTACCCAGCCTCCAATGGTAAAATTTCGCTGTAAATGCAACCTGATCCAAAAGTTCAGCGAGAAATAGATATAAACATAAACATTCAAAGCGTATTACAAAAGCGCTAAACTAGCGAGAACTATCCCTTGTAGTCACATATGTCTTTACGCGCTTGATTTGTTTCATCGAGAAAACGTAAATAAAAGAATCGATACAAAACACGAAGCGGAGTAAAGAAAAAGTAATCTAAGCGTTAAAAATGATTGTGACTGGATCACTTTGTCCTAAAAGAAGAAAATAAACCTGAACCTAACTTCAACAGACGCAAACTAAAGCTGAACTAAAGAAAATAACTAACTTAGCCCAAAATATGCACAATGCGATATAGAACCTGCGCCAATAAGTTGAGCCGAAACTCCGAGCAAGAGAAGACGTTTTATTGACCGAGGACAAGAAGCATATATAAAACGAACGAGCAGGCAAAAAAAGGGGAATAAAGGTGCCGCGCTAATTATGCGCGAACCGTGTGACAATGAGTCTAACTAAACAACAACGTGCATACGAGGCGGAACAATGAAGCAGGCTAAACGACAGCGTGCGCAATGCGTCACGCCATGCGAGCTAATGGCTGGCATATTAAACAAAGAGAGCACATAATGTAAGACTAATTAACATAAATTACGAGAACGCTAAACTAGCAGGAACTATAAATATGCCGGTCAAGTACCGAGGCCACCATATTGGATTTGTGAGATCGCGGCACTTCTGCGGGGAATAGACAACTGAGAAAGGAGGAGGGACTAGGGAGAAATAAAAAGAAACACTTTTCCATGCCAAACCCCTTCCTCTTCATTAGTTAGTTTCACTGTTACTTAGTCTCACTCCAAGCCTTCCTCGATCTTACCGATCGATCCAATATGGCAACTTCTACATTCGGTCTAAGTTCGTCCTCAGTCCTCAGCTTCAAACCTTAGTCACATAAGAGGACTTCAGAACCTTCAAATTAGGCGATAGAAACGAGAAGACTTCGTACAAGAAGCCAAGGTTTTGAAAGTGGTTATCTCGTGTGAAAAAGTAGTCACAAACACAAATGTTTAACTGAAACACGAAAATCCTGTGTGTCTTAATCCTTTTTTTATTGATACACTCTTTTTCTAAATTAAAGTTATCGAAAGAAACAGCAAAGGGAACGCCTGTACATGGCCTCTTAGCCATAGGGTTCGTAGCTGTACATGTGTACTCTCATGCATCCAAGTTAGACCCAAGTCTCCTTCGCAGACGTACTTTGGATGTCTTTCTTTGGGTTGAGCGTTGCATTACATCCCTAACAACGCCTGCGATACGGAGGTTATGTACGTCTTTGTATGCAAGACTGAACATCTTGAAAATTCTGTTTTATTACTTCAATTACTCACCCATTCCACAAAAAGTGGGCCCAATAGCCATTTTCAATGTCTTTGTT